TGGTTGCATTCTTCTTCGTTTTATGATCCTCTGCTCTAGTATTGATTCTTCTTACAGTGCTCCCCTGACGTGTTATTGCTGCATTGCTTATATTGGTCCGTCTTATACCACTGGCCTCACTCACCCCCATGACCTCATCCAACCTCACTTCCCTGTGCGTCCCTGCCTCTGTCTGCGTCACTGCCTGCAGTGTTCAAGTGGAGGGGCATCCCGCATGACGTGTGGATCATGAACACCATGGACGCGTACAATAATTGTGACTTTGGGGCGGCCACTAGAAAGACTGGCATCACATCTGTGGGGAAGTACAAGTGAGTGTGTAAAGCGCTTCTTGAGATGAGGCGATGCACTGTAGGCATGCATGCTACCTGCGACTTGGGGGCAGCTAGTAAGAAGACTGGCATGGCATCCGCGGTTGACTGTGAGTGTGCAGAGAGCGTTTTGAGTTGAGACAATGCACTGTAGGTGAGCACGATGCAAGTGGGCGTGCTGTCCGGAACGTTGTTGAATCTTTGCAGAGCTGGACACCTTGCTGTTGTCTTGGGTTTCTACTGCGACTGCTACACCAAGCATCTGCAAAGTTTCCTGTTACAGTTGAGGCGATTGTTACCATTCTGTGATGCGAGTGTTTCTGAGATGGCTTTGCCTTGCGCTGTCCACTCATCGTTTGAATCATGTGTCAGGTACAAGGTTCCAGCTTCAGCAAAAGGCACATCGATTCTCTTTTCCTGCAGTGTGCCTGGCCACTGCTCCGCATTCAACATGAAAGTGGCTGTACCGATCCATGCATGAGTAAATACTTATTTTCTTTCTGTGACGTTTTGTTTCCTGCGTCCTGCTGTTAGCAAATCTTGTCAATATGTACGTTTCCTGCTTGTATATAACTGCTTTATTGAAGAATGAAGTGAAGCCACAGGAAGCTTTTGACAGCAAAGTACAAGTTGTTCCAGCATTGATACAACTGCACTAATGATACGATAAGTGCATGCACGAGTAAATTGTCAACGTGGTTGTTTTGAGAGAAATTGAAAGTATGGTGATAAACCTTACCCAACAAACTAGGTAGAATATGCACCCTCCCTTTCATACCATTCTTGAACGCGAGGCACCATTGCTCACCTCACTCCGAAGAACTCTACTCACTGGACTCGATGATCTTCTCCCAGTGGTTGACGCAAGGGAAGTGGTTGACATGGATGGAAGCACAGTACAGTACCATTCAGGTGCTGCTTTTGGTTTGAAATGAAAGCCTTCACCTGCCAGCTCACCAGGTTGTCCTTCAACGCTCACAAGAAACTACCTGCATTCCTTCCGCATCGCACGGGTAACAACAAGGCAATGGGCCGCCACCGCCATCCCGTACGCGCCATTTCCGTCTCGTTGTCGTTGAGGGGCAAAACAAGATTCACCACCACCAGAGCAAAGCCATTTTTTGCACACCTTTCAAAACGGCGGCAGACAATGAGCTCATACGTTGCTACGCACTTTACCTGGATACCAGCCGTCACGTCCCGAGTGTCTTCCTTTCGTGCGACAAGAACCACTTGTCTCATTTCTGTATTAAAAAGTTGCTATTCACCTTCCGTTTTCCCAGGCTCAACGTTTCCCGAATATCGCGGCTTCACCTTCCGAATCTCGCGAGTCGCGAGTAAAGAATCCCATTTAGTTTATCCAAGAAACGAGGCCTTTCATTCTGTCAGTACGACTAACTCCGGATATTCCGCTCACCTGATAAACACAGCACGCCACTGAAACTGCTGATGCTATTCTCGTCGCGCTCTCTGCTGCTCCACTCGTCCTGCGCGCCTCGTCAGAATATAGACTCCATCGTCCGTATCTAGACTCCGAGTCGATCAGCATCGAGATTGCCGTCGTCAGTGGGAGCGTGTCTGAGGCCCATCCAGCAACATGCAACGGCGGCTGCCGCCGGCCGTGGCGTCCGCTGCAGTGGCCGTGACGGCGCTGCTGCTCGCGGCCATGCTCGCGACAAGAGTTGACGGACAAGCTGATCTTGCATGTGAGTCGGGCCTGGACTGTGATGGCTAAAATACAATGGTCTGGATGGCTTGTCTGATCCTCGGGATGCTATCGGCCACCCTCTTGGCCTGAATCTCCGTCAGGCGTTCAGCCAAGGCGGGAATTCCAAGGGAGTGTGACTCAATCTGGCTCAACTCCGGATGGGTGTTAAAGAAAACCGCTTCCGCTCGCCTTGCATCGTCATGAGTAGCGTCCGCATCAGTCTTGTTCCGGACACACACGTATCCAAGCCCGATCCGCACGGAATTCGACTGAATCTTCTCGTAGAGCCCATCAGGAGCGCGGTCGACCTTGGTGACGACAGCCAGGGTGCGATCGCCATCAGGGTCCACCTCTTGCGACATGACGATAGACTCGCACGTGGAGAAATCCACCTCGGCTGCCAGCACGTTCAGAATCACGCTCTCCTTCGGAGTGATGTAATTCATTATCATCGCCTTCACCTGGTTATAAATGTCCTTCGGTTGATCTTCGATAGGAACGCGTGTGATTCCCGGCAGATCTACCAGGGTTAGGTCAGGCAAATCCGGTCGTCTCACTTCCAGGGTGATCGGGCAATTCATAACGCCCTTCCGGCTGCCAGCTAAGGTTACCGTCGCTTCGGAAATCTCCTTCTCGATCATCGCTTCGTCAGGCAAAACCTTGGACACTTTACCAGAAACAGGGGTGTATTCGATCGTAATCTCATCCTGACCGTCGACGCATGATTGCAACCTCAGGATCAACGGCACTCGGGTAACGATCCCCTTGCCTCGCGGCAGGTTGATTCCGGACAAGTTTTCCAGCACGGACGACTTGCCGCTGGATTGGTCGCCGACGACGACGATCGTCGGCAGCTCGATGCCTTCTTCCTTGAGACCTAGGACTCGAAGCTTGTCGATCGCATCGAGCATCGGACGGACATTTTCGTTGAAGGAGGAAATGAGGGGAGCCATGGCAGGGAGAGAAGGGATCAGCTGAGAAGCCTTGGAGGTAGGAAGCAGAGACGCAACCAGAGAACTTAGCATGCTTTGCAGTGTTACTTTCTTGATCCAACCTTTCTTATTGGCAGAAAATGGCCCGTCATACCCATAAATGGGCCCCTAATCCGAGTCGCGTCGCGCGCTCGCAGCGCTACTCACGTGGAGCCAACGTCACAAGCTATTCAAGGTCGCGGGACCATTCAGATCTCAAAATCACGGAGCACAAGTTTGAATCTCCCGCAACTATTGGTGGTGATGACTACATGACGATTGTCGAGAGACACTCTACGCACTAACAGTGCAACCATTGTGTAAAATGACGTGCAGAGAAGAACCCTGCGGCGCAAAACGAGAGATGTATCCTCTGCAGCCCTGTTTCCGGCATCAGATCGTGCTGAACGTCGTGTTGTGTCCTGTGCGGTTTGGCTTGCAAAGCCATGGCTTCCATCTCATTGCTACCGTCTCAGCGATTGCTTCCGTCACAACCATTTGCTTCTGTCATACGGAGCATCTGCGAAAACTGCGTTCTGGTTGTGGTGGGATGGATTGAACATATCTTCAATACAGTGCAATGCAACTGCATCACAACTTCTGGAATAATCAGTTTATCAATCTAATCGCCTAGACAGAACAAGGAAAGGAAATAACAAAAAACCCATACAGATTCTGCTGGCCATAAACAGCAGAAGGCCAGTATTATAAGATGAATCACAGGGGGTCCTTGTGACTTAGGCAAGAGGAGAATAATATACATGATAACCCAATATAAGTTATATAATACAGTACATAATATGCTATTCGTCAATGTCCTTTTTGAATTGATCATAATTTACGGATAATGTAATAAATTTTATGTTTGAATAGATGTAATCATAATCCCTGGCGTTTGATTTGCATGCGGAAAACTAATGGTTTATGTTTTTTTCCAGATTTTGTTCTCTGCTCTGGAGGTTGGGTGTTTTGTTGCGTCACATTGTATCGAACCTTGGGGATCGTTCCATAGTTGCACACAGAAGTTCTCCGCAAACGCTCCTAGGTAGTGACGCAAGCCATGGCTGCTGCACAAGCGAAACGCTACAGAATGCCGAACACAGTACCGGTATGAGGGGACAGCTTCAGGTTGCCCAACTCCTAATGCTGGAACGGGTATACAAGAAAACGTACGCCATGTTTCGCGGCGCGTTGTTTTGTTTATGCACGTTAGATTCCACTGGCCACACTGCTGACAGTTGCAGCGAATTCTCTTCACCACCCTCAAGCATTCGTCACCGCGAATGGCTGCGGCAGCCTCTCTTCTGTGAGAAACCCGTGGGCTTTACATCTTGATGACGCTGTCGTGAGCAGTGCTGCGAGTACACTGACGTGACATGTGGGCGAGTAGCCGTCCTTGGCTGGTAGGATGGGCCGTCTGCTGCCGAATAAGAAGGCCTAGCTCCGAGTTACTATCATTGTGAATGGCGCTCCGCTCTCTAGTCCCTGGTCGCTATCTCAGAACCTGCTCGCCTCGCCATGGTTCCTCTCACGTGCTCCTCTAACGAGAATGTCCATCTTATGCTCAGTGCGATTCGAGTTCTAGGTTTGAAGGAAGAAGGGATCGAGCTACCGACGGTCGTCGTGATCGGTGATCAATCCAGCGGCAAGACTTCCGTCTTAGAGAGCCTCTCCGGCATCAGCCTGCCGCGAGGCAAGGTGTCCGTCGCTCGAGTGCCATTAATCCTGCAGCTCCAGTCATGCGCGAACGGACAGGATTTGATAAAATTTGAGTACACCCCTTCTTCTGGTAAGGTGTCTAAAGTCTTATCTGATAAGGGGATGATAGAGCAGGAAATTTCAGAGGCGATGGTGGCCTTAGCTGGGAACCAGAAAGGCGTATTAAGTTCCCCAATCACCCTGCAAGTGCAGCGACCCGGCTTGCCTGACCTAACACTCTTAAATCTCCCGGGAATCACGCGCGTTCCTGTTGAAGATCAGCCGAAGGATATATACAGTCAGGTCAAGGCGATGATCATGCACTACATCACTCCGAAAGAGAGCGTCATTCTCAATGTCCTAGCAGCCGAGGTGGATTTCTCGACGTGCGAGTCCATCGTGATGTCGCAGGAGGTGGACCCCGACGGCGATCGCACCCTCGCTGTCGTCACCAAGGTCGACCGCGCTCCTGACGGGCTCTACGAGAAGATTCAAGGAAATTCCGTGCGGATCAAGCTTGGTTATGTGTGTGTCAGGAATAAGACTGACGCGGATGCTTCTTATGAGGATGCAAGGAAGGCAGAAGCCGCCTTCTTTGATAACCATCCGGAATTGAGCCGGATTGGGTTAAGCTCCCGCGGAGTTCCGGCTCTGACTAAACACTTGATGGAGACTCAAGCCAAGAGGGTAGCCGACAAGGTCCCACAGATGAGAAAGGCCATCCAGAAAGCACTTGTTGCGAAGAGGCGTGATGTAATGAGTGGCGTCATCAGCGGGAAGAATGTCATCGCCAGTGAGAAGCAAGGCCACCCTCCAAGTAACGAGACGGTGCTCTACTCTGCTAGGCTTCGCGAAATGTTCAACAAATTCGAGGCTCAGATGCGGGCTGCTCTCCCGGACTTCCTTGGTGCAGACTACACTGAAAGGTGCAAGAAAGCGTTGACAGAATTGCCCGAAATTCCTCTTCCAAACATGTTGGATCAGGCTGTGGCGAGGAAGCTGGTTCAGGAGGTGGTGGAAAGAACTGAAGCGCCGTGCCTGCAGCTGGTGAATGACTGTTTCGCCTTCGCAACCGCAGTGCAACAAGTTGTGGTGGCACATGTCAGTGGGATATATCCCGGGCTGAACGACGTCGCTCAGCATCATTCAGGCCTGCACGCTCTGAGGGAGGCCAAGGATTCTGCAATCCGCTTTGTTCAGCTCTTGTTAAGAAACGAGAAGAAGTTGGTCTTCACACTTAACCACAGCTACATGGATACGGTCTCACAAATCCAAGCACAGATTGCCGATTACAAGAAAGCTAAGCCAGATATTGCGAATGGAAGCTCCCCTCCTGTACCCTCTGTTGAAGAATTCGCTTCCAGCACTGCTTCACTCGCTAACCTGATCAGCAATGAGGACCAAGCAGCGAGGGGCCTGCAGATCAACATGTTTTCATATGCCAAGGTGATGCACAAGCGGCTGTGTGACGTGATCTCTATGGAGATTCGGGTGTCCCTTGAGACTGCTTTGCTGGATGGCACTGATGTTGCTGTGTGGCGGGGAATTCATGGTGGCGATATTGCCATGATTCTAGCTCGGATGGAGGCTGATCAGCAACGCAGGGCTCGACTGGAAGAGACGAACAGGTTGAAGGCTGCTAGCTAGCCGAGTCTGAGAGTTCATTGTTTGTGTGCCATGATATTGGAGTGCGATCTGAAGCTTGTGAACTTGCATTCCTGTGATAGATTTGGAATTTGACGAAATGATGCTTTTGTTTTTTTTCCCTTTGTCATTATTTGGAACTCCTGTGCGAATAGTGACGTTCAGCATTGTAGTAGCTTGTGACAGGAACTTGGAATGCTAATCACATTGCAACTAGTATGTGGATCAAATTCTGTAGCTTGTACAGTGTGCCGATCACTTCAGTGCCCTTCATGCCCAAGTCCCCCCTGCCGGTTCTCCATGCCAGTCCCCCTAGCATGTTTCCCCCTCCCAGTTCTCCCTGTCAATTTCCTAAACGAATCTGCCTTGTCAGTTCCCATTCCCAAATCCCCCATGTCAGTTCCCCCCCCCCCCTGCCAAACCCCCTGTCAGCTTCCCTTGCCTAATCCCCACTGCCAGTTCCACCTGCCAGTTCCCCATGCCAGTTCCCCATGCCAGTTCCCCATGCCAGTTCCCCATGCCAGTTCCCCATGCCAGTTCCCCCTGCCAGTTCCCCCTGCCATTTCCCCCTGCCAGTTCCCCATGCCAGTTCCCCATGCCAGTTCCCCATGCCAGTTCCCCCTGCCAGTTCCCCCTGCCATTTCCCCATGCCAGTTCCCCTTGCCAGTTCCCCATGCCAGTTCCCCATGCCAGTTCCCCTTGCCAGTTCCCCATGCCAGTTCCCCATGCCAGTTCCCCATGCCAGTTCCCCCTGCCAGTTCCCCCTGCCAGTTCCCCATGCCAGTTCCCCATGCCAGTTCCCCATGCCAGTTCCCCATGCCAGTTCCCCATGCCAGTTCCCCCTGCCAGTTCCCCCTGCCATTTCCCCCTGCCAGTTCCCCATGCCAGTTCCCCATGCCAGTTCCCCCTGCCATTTCCCCATGCCAGTTCCCCTTGCCAGTTCCCCATGCCAGTTCCCCATGCCAGTTCCCCTTGCCAGTTCCCCATGCCAGTTCCCCATGCCAGTTCCCCATGCCAGTTCCCCATGCCAGTTCCCCCTGCCAGTTCCCCTTGCCAGTTCCCCCTGCCATTCCCCCATGCCATTTCTCACTGCCCACATCTCCCTGCAGTTGATTCATTTACTTCTGCTGTATTCCTGTGTTCACTACTCACTTCCTTCCCATCACAAGCTTTTTTCGTTTCGCTACTACTGTGTCACAGTCGCTCTACTCTGCCTCCTCTTAACCCCCCTTTAACCTCCCACCCTCCGCCCCTCTTCCCACGCTCCCCCCTCCCCCAACCCCAATCTGTCTCGCCGTATGCTGCAGGTGGCTCTTCTTTTTGTGCTGGTACCACGTCCATTTGTGGGTTTGTGGATGTGAGTAAGCGTATGTGATTCGAATGGGGCTGCCATTTCCCTAAGCACTCTACCCTCCACTCCACTTGTCGATGGACACTATCCTTTCCCCCGCCGGCTTCCCCCACCTTCCTCCCCACCTCCTCTTCAACGCGATGTCAATTCCAAGTTTGTGGAGACGAAAAAACATCTGCGGCGCACCCCCCCAACCCCCTCCCCCCAGCCTCTGCTCCAAGTCCGCCGCGTGTATGCTGCAAGAGGTGCTCAGCCTGCCGCTAATGAGGTTGCTGGTGGTGCAGAGTATTTTTGAGAATTCTCAAAAATACTCAGCCTGCCCCTAATGAGGTTGCTGGTGGTGGTTGATGCGAGTCGGTGGAGACCTGCAAGGATGAGTAGCGCCAAGGATGAGTACCATATGGATGTGGCACTGGGAGGGCGGCAGTGCGTGTGTTTGTATCACTTTTGAAGTTTTTTTGGAGTGATACAAAACTGCCAGGATGAGTTTTGAGGTTCATATGGGTGTGGTATAGGTTGGGTGGGTGTCAGTGACTGTGGCCCGCGAGGAAGTTATAAGGCCATTCTGGCTGTAGCGCCATCAGTGATGCTGTTTGCAGGTTGCCACCCCTTCCTCTCAGGTTATCGCCCCTTCGTCTCAGGTTGCCATTTGCAGGCTTCTCCCCCCTCCCAGATTGCCGTCCATTTCCCCCCCTCCTAGATTGCCGTCCATTCCCCCCCCTCCCAGATTGCCGTCCATTTCCCCCCCTCCCAGATTGCCGTCCATTTCCCCCCCTCCCAGATTGCCGTCCATTTCCCCCCCTCCCAGATTGCCGTCCTTCACTAGTTCCTCTCAAAGTGCCGCCCTTATTACTCGGATTACCGCCCCTTCCTCTCAGATTGTGTCGCCTTCCTTTCAAATTGCCGCCCCTTCCTCTCCCTATCTCAGATTGCCACACGTTCTTCTCGAATTGCCACCCATGATCGAATTGCCACCCATGATCGAATTGCCACCCATGATCGAATTGCCACCTTTACAAGGGAAATCGCGTTGCTGCTCTGTAAGGAGCTCCCTGTGCCGACCGAGCCCCTGTGCTGCACGCAGGCAAGATGGAAACACTCCTCTCCTGTTGGATTAATCAGCAATTTGATTCAATATCCGATATGCCCAGAGTCAGTGCTTGTGGTCATCATCATAATCGATTATCCATTTCTGTGGAGTGGATAGGTGGATATGTATATATTTATAATTGCACAAGTGCTTCACTACACAGTAAAAGAGTATTCTGTTCAGCGTTCATACAAGCTTCATCAGCTGCGCAGCTAACATACACTTGCGATGCTCTGTTGTACAATTTAGATGCGCGCAATCTCAAACGCGGTTCAGCACGGTGCAGCACAAGTCTGGGAAGGGGCTGGTCTGATACGGGGCCGTAGGGAGGAAAACGCCCTAAGCCGTAGAAGCGCTTTGTTGAAGCGAGTCCCATAGTGCTTGGCCCTCCTTGAATCCTGAATTCGAATCAGTCAGGAGAGACAGGTACAAGACGGAATATGTCACCCCCATATCGGGCTATACAAGGCTGTGTGCAATCCTCAGGTCAAATCAAGTCAGCAAACGTCTACTCATTGGTAGTCAGCTCACGTCAACAAAAAAAAAGCTCCAGACAACTCAGGTCAACTCTCTCACAGCTGGTCTCACACACTCACCAGCAATGGCTGGCAGGGGCGTGACATACACACCAGTCATGATGACCCAGTGCACGTGTTGCCATAAACCAAATCATTTTAAGTCAGCTCAAGTCAGCAGGCCACCAGTCCTCACGGCACTCACCAGCAGTGGAGGCAAGGGAAGCGGCATGCACGCCATTCATGACACAGTGCACCGTGCATGACTCGCCATAGTCCAAGTCTGGCAGCAGCTTTGGCGTCAGCAGGAAGCACCTGCAAGAGGGGATGTTGGTGCACGGGGGAGGACGAGAGGAGGAGAGTTGCACATGGGAACACACAGGTGCATATGTGACAGAAAAATCTGGCAGGCACAAACATAGGTGCTCATTGGGGCAGCCCATGGCATGAGGATGCCATGCTCGACATACATGGCGTAACCTGTGCTAAACCTGTCTTTGAGACGCCATGGCTCAGTGATGCCATGCTACACAGACAGAGCACTCACTGCGGGGTGTGGTCGTGGGTGGCGGCGCGCACGAGCTGTTGGAACATGTTGCGCTCGTTGGTGGGATCCATGCCCTGGTTGATCTCATCGTGTGCCCTCACAACAGCATGCAGACCACTCACTGCGGCGTGTGGTCGTGGGTGGCGGCGCGCACGAGCTGCTGGAACATGTTGCGCTCGTTGGTGGGATCCATGCCCTGGTTGATCTCATCCACCACTCGGAACGGACACCGCGTTAAGTCCTGCAGCGACACCAGGTACAGGATCGTTGACACTGAGCGCTCCTGGGAAGGGGGGAAAGGAGGGAAGGGCATGGAAGGGGTAAAGGAAAGAGAGGACGCAGAGTCCGCTTGTGGTTGCAAGTCCTGCAGCGACACCAGGTACAGGATCGTTGACACCGAGCGCTCCTGGGAAGGGGGGAAAGGAGGGAAGGGCATGGAAGGGGTAAAGGAAAGAGAGGACGCAGAGTCCGCTTGTGGTTGCAAGTCCTGCAGCGACACCAGGTACAGGATCGTTGACACCGAGCGCTCCTGGTATGGGGCAAGGGAAGGGGGTTCACAGGTGGAAGAGGGTGGAAAATGCAGAGCGTGATTCCATGCCCTGTGGCGAATGGATTGAACATTGTGTACGTTAGGTAGTGCAGATGGAGCAGGTAAAAAGTAGTGGACGGAGGGGAAGGGAGGGGGGGGGGATGAAAGCAAGCAAGTAATACAAGCAGCAACACAAGGAGCAAAGTCAAGGCAACAACAACAGGTGACACACGCAACAGATGGACGGCACAGCAAGGACCCCTGCCAACACAGAAAGAACCCCTTTGAACAGCAACGCACCCCTCCCGACTGGTGGTGTGCACTCAGGTCCTGCAGCTCTGCACTCTCTCTGATGCATGCATGGAGCACCACACAAAGAGCACAAAGCAGGGGTTGACAAGAGCAGAAGATGGGGCAAGAGGGCAGGGGGAGAAAGGGAGGCGATGAGAAGAGACACAAGGCAATGTGCAGAGACTTGTTTTGAGGCGCCTCAAAAGTCAGGAGGCGATGAGAAGAGACACAAGGCAATGTGCAGAGACTTGTGGGTGGAAGTGGATGAAACGCGCTTTTAGTCGACTCCAAACACGGAACACAAGCGCTGCTATTCTCAGATGTGTACCTTCACATGAAAATGCATGTCTGTAGGAAAGGAACTCAAGGGAATGGGACAAGTGCGTGGGATGGGATGGGATGGGATGGGATGGGATGACACAGAAGCTGATGAGGGCTTTGACGAAAAGGCAGTAAAGAAAGGGCATTCAAGGGGAGTGAAATGAACCACACTTGCAATTCCAATGGTGCATTATCATCCACCTGAGACTGAACCACCTGCGGCTGAATCACCTGAGACTGAACAGTTGGTGCTGAATCACCTAAACTGAACCACCTGAACAGAATCACCTGAGACTGAACCACCTGAAAAGAATCACCTGAAAATGAACCACCTAAAAAGAATCACCTGGAACTGAACCACCTGAGTCACCTGAAGCTCTGAATCACCTGAACTTGACTCGGATTCGAATGCCATACGATCGAAAGTCAGCCCCCCTTTCATCTGAATGCAGACAAGGAGGGGGAGGGGAGGTGCGAAAATGGGGGGTGGCGCGATGATGGGACGGGAGATGGTGCGGTGGAAATGCACTTGGCAACTTGTTGGCTGAAAGAGAGTGAGACTTTTGAAATCTAGTGATTCGTTCGCATGCCCTTACCAGCCGCCATCTCCCCACCCAGAACCACTGCCTTTGAGATGAGTCAAAGGTGCTCCTTTATTAAGAGCTCCATCTAGGGCCATGCCGTCAATAAGAATTCATGCCCTTTTCTACCATGCATTATTGCAATGCATTCCCTCCATCCAAGCCAACCTTCATACACTTATTTCCCCTCCACACTCACACGTTCTCATACTCCCTTCCCCTTCACCCGCTTCCAATCCACTTCCCACCCTCTCCCAATCCTCTTCCCACCCTCTCCCAAGCCTCTTCCCACCCTCTCCCAATCCTCTTCCCACCCTCTCCCACTCCTCTTCCCACCCTTTCTCCCCTCCACTCTTCTCTCACTCACCTAGAGCCACCTCCCCAGCAACGGCCATTTCCTGGAAGTTTCTGGAGAAGGCCTCATTGATGCGAACGATCAGCGAGCGGAGACGCGGCAGCCAGAGACCCTGGGGATGGGATGGTGCCACGTGGCAGATGGGGATGGGATGGTGCCACGTGGCAGATGGTGGTGAGATGGTGCCACGTGGCAGATGGTAATGGGATGATGAGAATGCGGACGGATTGGGAGGATGATGTGCAGCAATTACGAAATGACACGTGGATAGAAGAAGAGGTTAAAGCACGCCCGTTCTCATTGCATGTCACATTCACCACTCTTAACACCCCCACACTCCTCACCCCCCCTGGTCTCACCTGCCCCACTCTCTTGCAAATTGGTTGTGCGACACCCTATGCATCACAATACCCCACCAATACAGTCACACTCGCTATAACCATGTTGCAGTCATCTGCACTACCCCAACTTCCGCCTCCAGCTCCTCCAACTGCTACAGCAGCACACGCTGTCGATTTCTGAGTCGCCTCAAAACCCTACTAAAGTAAAGTGCATCGACTTCCCCCGTTACAGTCGCACCCACCCACCACTCTCACTCACTTGCACCCACACCAGCTGCTACAGTAGCACCACTATAGTCACACCCAGCCCCCCACCCCGTTATAGTCACCTGCACGCGCTCCACTTCTGCCCGGAGCTCCTCCAGCTGCTGCCTCTCACTCTCCACCTTGCCCTGCATAGTGCGGATCTGCATGCAAGCACATGCAGCGAGGGGAGGGTTCGGGGGGATGGAGGGGGAACGCGGGGAATGCATGCGGTAAATCTTTCTGCAGCCCCCCACCCCATTTCCTGCTACGCGGGAAATGAAATGCTAAAGTAGAATGGGGGCAATGAGGGATGCAATGTGGGGCCTCATCCCTCATTGAGGGATGCAATGTGGGAGCAATGAGGGGATGCGGGCAAGGTAAAATGGCCTCACTCATCACCTTGCCCGCACCCTGCGGGTCTGGATGGAGGCGTGGGGTTTGGTCGGGAGGAAGTGGAAACGAGACAACTTTTGAGATGCCTCAAAATTCGTGAGGAAGTGGGAGCGAGGCAAGGCCGAGAAGTGGCAGCAGGAGGTGAGAGTGAAGAGCCTTGCAGGTGCTGCCTGCCCCAACAACAGGATGTGTTTCATCGACTGCAACAAACTTGGAAAGAAGTTGTTCCCCTCCCTCACTTGCCCCAGTCGCTCCCGGTGGTACTCCTGGAAAACACGCGGTGTTGTTGTGCTTTTCTTTCTATCTCTCACCTCCTCGTTCTCGCGCCTGCTCTATCTCCCATTCACCCGCTCTCTCCCACCTCCTTGCTCACGGGCTCTCACCTGCTCCTGCCGTTCTTGGAACTGCTGCAGCACGTGGGGGTTGGGGCACACGATGCGGTTCGCCTGCCCTATGCGCTCCTCCACCTCTTCCTGTAGCTCCTCCAGCGAGTCGGGCAGCTGAAGGGAAGGTGAGGGAAGTCAAGGAGGTCTGAGGGCATCAGAAGTCAAGGAGGTCTGAGGGCATCAGAAGTCAAGGAGGTCTGAGGGCATCAGAAGTCAAGGAGGTCTGAGGGCATCATAAGTCAACCCAATGTGCTCCACTAGGTGACTGGGAATAGTCATTCAAATCAAATATACCACTATAACCACCAATGTGCTAACCCATCCTCACCGTTTCAAACAGCCTCTTGGCCTCCTCATCCCTCCTCAGGTCCACCACCCCTCTCGCCGCCTCCAGTGCCGCTGCTGCCTCCTGCTTCGCTGCCGCCACCCGATCCTCCTCTGTGCGGGCAGGCAGTGGGAGGGGGAGGGGTAAGGGAAGGGCAGGGGGAATGAGGGAGAAGGGCGGGACTGGGGAAATCAGGAGGGTTTCAAGTGCCGCCTCCTGCTTCGCTGCCGCCACCCGATCCTCCTCTGTGCGGGCGGGTAGCAGGAGGGGGAGGAACGGAAGGGGAAGGGGCAGGAATGAGGGAGAGGCGTGCGAATCAGGTGGGTTCCATCCATAGTGCCCCCTCCTGCGTTGCTTGCTACCCCTGAGTGACCCCCCCCTATGGCCCGTGGGGCATGCTTGTGGGAGAGCGATGACCAAGGGACACAACGCTTTCTGTACATTTACAGAAAAACGACTGTGGGAGAGCGTTGACCAAGGTGCAAGGGCAGGAAGGTTCAGAGGAAGTACCTTCTACCTATAATCTAACGAACGAATGAACAATGCAACCATGCATGCACAAACGAACCCCACTTGCTCCCTATCCTGTCGAGGAGAAAAGGCCCCGCCCTCGCTTGGGCGAAGTCGGCCATGCTTTTCGGAGCACAACGGTGTTCGTTTCGTGGTCATCGGCGACTTCAGGGACTTTTATCTCTGAACGACGGGTCGATTTTCGAGAAGATTAAGTCGTCGAAATTGAAGTGTTGTTTCAGCTCTACGCAACTGCCCGTCGACAAGGCACTTGTCGAGGGGAGCAAATCGGCGTCGAAATCGAGCCTTGCAGGTCGACGGAATTGGAGAAAACAGCGTTTCGACGAAACGCTGGTCGACGGAAGTAAGCTCGAAAAAGGCATCGTCGAGCAGAGCGATTCCGATCGACCGAAATTACTTGTCTCCAAAATTCGCAATGTGCGCGAATTTCGACCAATCGCGAAACAACAAATTTCGACCAACCAGAGCATTTCGGAAATTGTACTCCCAGGAGATTTCGAATCAGTAAGGAAACTGAACCTGAAACACGTTTTTACTAACAGTAAAAACGTAAACAACTTTGAACGTTGGAAACCTGAGAAGCTGCCAACTCAGGAGAAAGACACAAGTGCTTGTCGTTTCACCTGGCGTTGCTGACTCGGAAAGGTCGAGCGTTTGTCGAGAACGTTTCTCCAGGGTTCATTGTGCTTGCTATTTGGGATCTCTTTCCTTGTACCATAATCTTGTTCTATCAATTTTTCCTTAGTGAAACTATGCTCGAATTCTACTAAGTCATTCTAACACTCTGTCCAGAATCACTGCCAAAACTCTGACCGTGCGTCACACACAATTCAGCCCTCCCTTAGAATAGAATTCTCCGCATGGTGCGGTGAGCGTGGATCGACCCCGCGTTAGAACCTTCAGATTAGACAACATTTCGCTCTATACCTAAGTCGTTGTAGGCCGGCAACCACCTAGACCGCCATGGACGACCAAGGAGTCGTTGCGGGAGTAGAGAATACTCTGCAGGCGCGGTTGGATGCTGTTCGGGCACGCCACGAGGCTGGCGGGTATGGTGAGGCGGACTTGGAGATTTTTCTCCTCGGAACTCGTGCGCAGTGGGCGCGTGAGCATCCCCTTCCCCGTGCTGAAGCGGACGGCGCGTCCGCCTCTCCCCGACCCGTGCACAACGAAGGTGACGGCGGCAATGTTGTTGGCGAAGGAAGCACGAGAGTTCGTGGAGTGGTTCGGGTCGCTGACGTCGGCGTTGGCGGAGTGCAAGCGCAAGTGCTGCGGTCGACGGCGGCTGCAGGCCGACGATGGTCAACGAACGTCAACATCGATGGTCAACGTCAATCTCCTCAGCGGAGTGGAGCCAGGCCGACTTCGACGACTCATGCGTCAGCTGGTCGAGACGGAGGCATCGCTCCGGCGTACGGCTACTTCAAATTTTCGCCGGACAAGATCGCTGAGCCGAAGCCGCTCGAAGGACGACATAACTTGATCACATGGATTGAGTCAATCGAACCCCAGCTAGAGATCGCCGGGTTGAAGAAGTTCGTTGACGGCAAGGTGGAGATGCCGGATGAAGACGACTCTGAATTGTTGGCGGAATTTCGCGCTGCTCACCTTCTGACTTTCATGGTCCTTTCGCGGTGCTGTTCGCCACTGGTGCAAGTCGCGTTAAAGCCGTGCCGACTTCGTGTGGACGCCGGCTACCAGGCGTGGCAGTACATCATGCGCACCTACAAAGCGACCGACGACCTCTACATCAGCCAATTGGAGAAGAAATTGGCCACCATTCGTATGGGCGAGCAGGAATCGGCGACCGAGTACTGCAATCGAGCGCGACGAATTTTGGCCGACATGCAGATGGCTGGCTTCGAGTACTCGGTGGCGTCGTATGTCACGCATGTCGTCAATGGCCTCCCCTCGAGCTACAATCTGATGCGACGGATGCTGATCATGCCCGGCGCGCGAGAGACTCTGAACGAGGATTCGCTTTCGAGTCACATCATCCAGGATGAGTTTATGTAGGAGTCTGAGCGGTCTTCAGAGCTCCTTCCGCACGCTAACTACGTCGCTCCGACGAAGCAGGGACGTCAGACGGGGCAGCGTGGGAAGTCGGGCGGAGGTGGAGGCGGTGGCGGAAAGTCGTCGAACACCAAGTCTACAGAGGGCGCCGACCGCGGGAAGTCGGCGAAGGGCAATGATCGCGGAAGCAGTGGTTCGCGTCGAGGAGGACGCCGCTGCTACATTTGCGGAGACCCTGACCATCTCTCGTATGACTGCCCTGACCGCGACGAGTCCGACGACGATCAGAAAGGAAGCCGTGGAAAGTCGGAAAACGCTCGTCGATCAGAGGACGGGAAGTCTGACAACGATCGTCAGCGTCGAGACAACAAGCCGCGGAAGGAGAAGCCTGCGTCGTCGAAAACGTCGTCGACATCAGAGGCTGGTACCTCGAGCGGAAAGGAAGCCTCTTGTTCGATGGTTGGCATGGTCGAGCCAACAATTTCGCTGGCGCCGGAGGCTGGCGAAGACTTCCAGGCGGTCGCAGCAGCCGTGCAGGCGAATCCGACTGTGGTTCTCCTCGACAGTGGCTGCTCCCATCATCTGATGGGAACGCGAGAGGCCTTCGTCGAAATGAAGCCAGGAGGAGAAATCCGTCACGTGCGCGGATTCAATGGGCCGCTTCAGAACGTCGAAGGCCGTGGCACAGTTGCTCTGAAAGGGGAGACTGGGAAGCAGATTCTCATCCCCGACGTGTTGTACGTTCCGGGCGTGCACACGGACCTACTGTCTGCTGGCCAGCTGGAGGAAAACGGCGTGAAGCTGAAGAACGAGGGTGACGAGATGCTGCTCGTTTCCGCTGCAGGAGATGTGCTCGGTCGAGCACGCTACACCGGCCGAGTCCTCTGCACCGACCTCCGCCCCTGCTCCTCGAAATCGACTACATCTGCGACAGAAGCAGTTGCTCTGCGGACGATCGCCTCGGCGACGAAGTCAAAGCCGGCTAAGTGGCACGCGAGGCTCGCGCACGTCGGCATCGACACGATTATGAGCTCGGCGAAGCATGAAGTTGCCATCGGTCTGGACATTGCGAAGTCAACTGGAGCCGATTTGCCGTGTACCTCTTATGTTGGCGGCAAGCTGACGCGTCATACTTTTCCAGAGATGGGATCAGAGGCTGCAAACGCCCTCGACGTCGTGCACATTGACCTCTGTGGCCCCTTCCGTGTGGCCGCCGCAGATGGGAGCCTCTACTTCCTCCTCCTCAAAGACCGCAAGACCCGCTTTGTGTGGGTCCGCCCGATCGCGAAGAAGAGCGACGTGCTGGTCGTTTTCGAGAAGTGGCTGAAGGAAGTGGAGCGGCAGACTTCGACGACGGTGAAAAGGTTGCGCTCGGATCGCGGAGGCGAATTTCTTGGCAGGAAATTCACCGAACTTGTCGAGGACAAGGGCATCCTCCACAACCTCACCTGCCCCTACACTCCGCAGCAGAATGGCATGGCGGAGCGGGAGATGCGGACGGTCGTCGAATCTGTGCGGACGATGCTGCTTCACATGGGGGTGAAGCATCACTGGTGGCACCTCGCTCTTCGTCACGCTGTCTGGGTGCGCAACTGCCTCGAACGGGCCTCCCTTCCTCCGAGGACGACGCCGTATGAGCTGCTGTTCCAACAGAAGCCGGACCTTACGCTGGCGCGTGTGTGGGGCTGCATGGTGCAGTTCATGGTCCCGGAGCAGCAGCGCGGCTGAAAGTTGGCGCCAAAGGCACGCTGGGGAATTCACCTTGGTGTTTCGCCGGAGAGCAAGGGCTGGGAGGTGCTTGATCTCACTGACAACCGCATTGTCACAACCGTGGAGGCCATCTTCTACGAGACGATGTCTCTGGCGGAGTGGAAGGAGGAGCATGGGCCGGCGTCAGAGCGGACGAAGGCCTCTCCTCTGACGGGCCCATCGCCGGCGGCGATTGAGTTGCTCGCCTCCGAGGACGACAGCCTGTCAGATGATCCCGCTCCCTCCATTCCGCCCTCCTCGAACGCGCCTCCTACTCTTCCCGCCTCCCCCCCTTCGCTTGCTGCCGATCTGCCTAAGTCGGCATCGACGTCGGCCGCAAGCGACGAGGGGAGCATTGGTGCGTTGCCTTCGGCTCCGCCCATCGGCATCGCTAGCGGTCGACGTAATCTGATCGGCAAGCAAGTCGGCGTTGGAGAGGAGTCTCCGTCAACAGGGGAGCCGTCGAACGAGGAGCTCGCTTCAGAGGAGCCGTCGACAGGGGAGCCGTCGAACGGGGAGCTCGCTTCAGAGGAGCCGTCGACAGGGGAGCCGTCGAACGGGGAGCGCGTTTTAGAGGAGCCGTTGACAGGAAAGCCGTCGAACAGGGAGCGCGTTTCAGAGGAGCTGTCGACAGGGGAGAAATCCGACGATGGCACATCGAGCGACGTGGTGGAAGTCTCTGCCGACAAGCCTGCAGTTCGATGTTCCACCCGCTCCAACTTTGGCAAGCCTCCCGAGAGGCTGAGCTACCATGCGTGCCTCCCGCCGTCCTCCTACAGCACTCTGCTCGACGATGCGCAGTTCGACGTCAACGTGTCCGAGCTCGATCCCGATATGCACGCTGACCCGGAGCATCGATGGGACATCGCTAACATGACAGTGAAGGAAGCGTTAGCGAGCTGGAAGGGCAAGGCGGTGAAAGCGGCGATGGACGAGGAGATTCGAAGTCTTATCACCAACGGCACTTGGGAGCTAGTGGAGCGCCCGCGCGGCGTCAATGTCATGAAGAACCGCTGGGTTCTGAAGACGAAGTACCATGTCGACGACACGGTTGCCCGCGAAAAGGCGCGCCTGGTGGTGAAAGGCTTCACGCAGATCCACGGAGCTGATTACGACGAGACGTACGCACCGGTCGGGAGCTACGTCACGCTGCGGATTTTTCTCAGCATCGTCGCCGTTCTCGATCTGCACCTTATGCAGCTGGACATGAAGAATGCGTTTCTACAGAGCAAGCTCGATCGCGTGCTCTACATGGATCAGCCGGCTTACTACAACGATGGTACCGGCCGCGTATGCAAGCTGCTGAAGAGTTTGTACGGGCTGAAGCAGAGTCCTCTGCTGTGGTACTCGGCGCTCGACGCTGTGCTGACTGGCGCCGGCTGGAGCAAGAGCCAGGTGGACGAGGCTCTCTATTTCAGAGTTGGCGACGACGGAGTGGCGTGCTGGGTGCTTGTCTATGTCGACGACCTGCTCGCCGCCAGCAGCAGCACCGCGATGCTGAAGGAGCTAAAGGAGCTGCTAGAGGCCGCCTTTGAGCTGCGCGAGATCAGCCCGGTCGAGAAGTATTTGGGGCTCGAAATCGTGCGCGACCGTCCGGCGCGGAAGCTGTGGCTGCACCAGCAGTCCTACGTCGACAAGTTGCGTAGGCGCTTCATCGACGAGGAGCAGACTGGTCGGCGTCCGAAGACACCTGTTTCCGTCGACGCGTATGCTGAGCTGACTTTCGACGACGAGGACTTCCAGTCGCGCGAAGAAGAGGAGTACCGTCAGAAGGTCGGTTCGCTGCAGTTCGCTGCCACAACAACTCGGCCCGACATTGCTTTCGCGTGTAGCAAGCTGGGGTCTGGTCTGACAGTGAGGAGCGACCAGCATTGGCGTGAGGTCGATCGCTGCCTCAATTATCTCTCTGACACGCGCGATTGTGCCCTGGAGTTCGGGGGCGGACCCGAAACTCTGAAGCTGGTCGGCTACGCGGACGCGGACGACGCTGGCGACAAGCAGACTCGCATCAGCACGAGTGGCTACATTTTCACCTTCGGCGGCGCAGCTGTCTCCTGGACGAGCCAACGCATCAAGTGCGTAACTCTGTCCTCTACGGAGTCAGAGTACATTGCAGCCACTGAAGCTGGCAAGGAGGCTCGTCGACTTCGATTCCTCCTCGCCGAGTTCCAGCTCCTCGATGCTGGGACGCCAACTGTTTTGAACGTGGACAACCAGTCCGCCATCGCGGTCGCTGAAGACTTGGGGCTGAAGGGCAACCTCAAGCACATGGAGCGACGCTACGCCTGGCTGCAGCAGATGGTGAAGCGCAAAAAGGTTGCGCTGGAATACATCCCAACATCCGAGCAGCCGGCGGACTTCCTCACAAAAGGTCTGCACTTTCCGGCCTTCAACCGGTGCTCTGTCGCGGTCGGCCAGGTTCGCCTTGCCGAAGTCGGCGACGACGGTGACGTGCAGCAGTAGGTGCCATGTCCTCTAACATGGCTAGTGCGGTGATCGGCGTGCGGAGGTGTGCACGCCAGAGAAATATCCCCTTGTATTCTATTAAGTAGGTTCTGGGTGGACCTTGTGTGTGGGGGCCCAAGCTCGAGCTGGGCAGGGGAGTGTCGAGGAGAAAAGGCCCCGCCCTCGCTTGGGCGAAGTCGGCCATGCTTTTCGGAGCACAACGGTGTTCGTTTCGTGGTCATCGGCGACTTCAGGGACTTTTATCTCTGAACGATGGGTCGATTTTCGAGAAGATTAAGTCGTCGAAATTGAAGTGTTGTTTCAGCTCTACGCAACTGCCCGTCGACAAGGCACTTGTCGAGGGGAGCAAATCGGCGTCGAAATCGAGCCTTGCAGGTCGACGGAATTGGAGAAAACAGCGTTTCGACGAAACGCTGGTCGACGGAAGTAAGCTCGAAAAAGGCATCGTCGAGCAGAGCGATTCCGATCGACCGAAATTACTTGTCTCCAAAATTCGCAATGTGCGCGAATTTCGACCAATCGCGAAACAGCAAATTTCGACCAACCAGAGCATTTCGGAAATTGTACTCCCCAGGAGATTTCGAATCAGTAAGGAAACTGAACCTGAAACACGTTTTTACTAACAGTAAAAACGTAAACAACTCTGAACGTTGGAAACCTGAGAAGCTGCCAACTCAGGAGAAAGACACAAGTGCTTGTCGTTTCACCTGGCGTTGCTGACTCGGAAAGGTCGAGCGTTTGTCGAGAACGTTTCTCCAGGGTTCATTGTGCTTGCTAGTTGGGATCTCTTTCCTTGTACCATAATCTTGTTCTATCAATTTTTCCTTAGTGAAACTATGCTCGAATTCTACTAAGTCATTCTAACACTCTGTCCAAAATCACTGCCAAAACTCTGACCGTGCGTCACACACAATTCAGCTCTCCCTTAGAATAGAATTCTCCGCATATCCCACCTCTATAATCCCTACTACTCGCCTCGCCTTTAGTCCTTCTCACTTCTCATCCCCACTCAGCCCCTCTCACCTCCGCTCATCACCAATCATCCACCCCTCCCCACCCCTGCTCACCACGCATCACCTCCTGCTGCAGCTTCAGCAGCTGCTCGTCCAGGTCCTTGAACTCGCCCTCGCGCTCGCGCACCTGGTGTTGAGGGGAGACATGATACGATATGATACGATGCATCGCAGTGGGCATGTGGTGCATGGGTGTGTGCTCATTTTTTGGGTTAGTAGATACCTATAATAATCTTGGGTGCATGGGCACGGTGCCTTGGTGAGCGAGCAGCATTTGATGTTCGCACATGTGAAGAATTCAACACACGGCAGTTCGTGTTTTTTGAGAATTCTCAAAAAACACACGGCACTTCTTATCATAAGTGAAGTTCACAGGAAGTTCCCAGGAGGAAGAGCGTGTAGGAAGTTACCAGGAGGAAGAGCGTGTAGGAAGTTACCAGGAGGAAGAGCGTGTAGGAAGTTACCAGGAGGAAGAGCGTGTAGGAAGTTACCAGGAGGAAGAGCGTGTAGGAAGTTACCAGGAGGAAGAGCGTGTAGGAAGTTACCAGGAGGAAGAGCGTGTAGGAAGTTACCAGGAGGAAGAGCGTGTAGGAAGTTACCAGGAGGAAGAGCGTGTAGGAAGTTACCAGGAGGAAGAGCGTGTAGGAAGTTACCAGGAGGAAGAGCGTGTAGGAAGTTACCAGGAGGAAGAGCATGTAGGAAGTTACCAGGAGGAAGAGCGTGTAGGAAGTTACCAGGAGAAAGAGCGTGTAGGAAGTTACCAGGAAGGAGAGCTCGTCCACAGCAAGTTGCAGGGAGGAGAGGCGCCGCTTCTCCTGCCACAGGCTCAGCAGGTGCTTCTGGGGGAGGTGCACACAGGGAGGGAGAGGGTGGGGGAGCGGAGGGGAGGGATGAGTTGGGGAGGAAGAGGGGAGCGGGTTGGGGATGGAAGCACACAGAAGCCCCATATTGGGAGCAAGGCTCTGTTGTTTCTTTAGCACCTATGACAACACCGGTGCACCATCTTGAAGCACTAGTTCTCGTACGGGAAACGGGAGCGAGGACAAAGAAAAGGGGCAGAAGCGAAGAAAAAGAAGGAGACAGTCTGTATGGGAGCACGCTGTGGCACTCACTCACACGTGCGTT